TAATGAGATGATTTAAGTTCAATGGAGGAGTACCAGTATGAAAAAAAAATATCTAATTTACTGAGTTTTATCGAGGTCTTTATTCATACAACAAATTCTGAACATGCATGAAACTGAATCGGTAAAAACATTGCAAGGGAGATCCCGTTTAGCCATAACATAAACAGTTCGCAGCTGAGCTGCGTATGATTTCAGATTGTCAGTTGTACCTTGGTATTTCCTCTTGTTTGCTACCTGACGAGCGGCCGTAAAGTCTGACTTCATGGTCAACACACGGACACTGATGTGACTTCTAGAGTCTTGATGCCGAATGACAGTTGAGTTTCGAAAATTTGAACACCCGTCAGTGAAAGGGTTTTTGGCTTTCGTTCTCACACAAACTTCACATTCCATAACGCTTCGATTCGATATGTAACAAAGCCATTTAAAACAATTTAGCCACCCATCATTGAAAGAACAATCCTTCTTTAGTAAAACATGGGGCTTTTCACTGGAAGCTGGTGAAGCTTCAACGGGAGAACTATCAGACGAACTATAAACACAAAGCGTCTACGTAGTACATTTTTTGTGATTGGTGTAAATGGCGACGCACATATGAATGATGATTTGGAGCGTTCCATTTGAAATCGAGGGAGGTTCTAGTGTTACAAGAGCCCATTTAGCAACTATTGCAGATCAAATGGAGGGGTGGATTACTAACGACTTGATGCCAAAATTCCTGCGTCCCCCCAGGACGCACTGCTGATTTTTATGAGGGGCGTACAGTCATAATTATGTGTCAATGACGCAATATATTGCGTCATGTAAAACCCTGATCACCTAATTAGAATGTAGGAAAAAGTTACTCATAATGACTCTTAAAAAAACAATTTAATTATGTACAGCAACACAGAAACAAAAGTGCTGGTTTTATCCATGCTGTTAATTTAATGACTTGACCCTTGTATTCCCAAAATCAACACTAGTGTTAATTTATTTATCATGAATTTCAACAAAATTTACCAATCAATCTGATTAGATTAGTGAAATTCATAGAAATGACTGCACATCCCTTCGCTTTTTGCTAAATTCTTTTTCCCTAATTAATATTCTAACTGACCACAGCCAGTGAACAATTTTAGCAAATATTTGTTATTAAATTCATTGAAAATGTTAAACATTGAAGTTAATGAACAAAAAGATAAAGAAAATAAAAAAAATGATAAAATTATGCAAAAAGTAAATAATAGAATTAAAATGAATAAGTAAAAAAAAATAATTAGCATGGGATTTCAACTTGGATATTTTTACTTGAAAGCAAAGGCCCAAAACACTACACTATGAAATACCGGTAAATACCCAATAGACACTATATACACTTTAAAAAAAACGATTTGGAGGATGAACTATACAAGATGAAATCTGTACAGGCCAACTATATCTACAGATTAATTTACGTCACCACCGCTGGACAACAGATGTTTTGCCACTACTATGACTTTCCCTTCGCTTAATTATGGGCAAGCCGAAAACTAGAATCACAAAATTTGAACCTGTTTCCTAGGCATGCCTTGGTGGATTTTATTCAAACTTGGTATCGGTATTTGTGTGTGTTCTTGGTCGCTTCTCTGACATACATTGAAAGATTTTGTACACCTGCACAATTACATTTTTGTTGCTTCTGTATTTAATGAAATTATCGCCTATTGTATGAGAAAATGATCATGATTCTCCACGCTATTTACCACAGCACACTTCAGTTGACATATTAGGTCACCTGCAATTGGATGAAATTTTTTCCTTTTGCATATAATCCACCCTTTTCTTTGGAATGTATGGTATTCAGCTCATAAGATACATTAAAAAACACCAATGGGGACTGTGTCGTTTTCAATGACTTGTTATTTATATTAACAATATAAAAGCAACATAGTTTTCCCACAGTGTGTGTTCACATTATACCCATTGAAAAGATTGGCAATTCAAATACGTTTGTATTCTTTGAGCCAGTGCATTTGCAAATTGCGTGACAGAAATGAAATTGGTATGGGGAATGGAAATTACAAATTATAGGAATGATTTTCTATTTTTAGTAAAGTCACAGAGTTTCAAAATCTGAATAATGAGTAAGTGAAATTAGCTTCTTGTCATTATGTATGTCAGTTTGAATGTGCACGACATTCGACACAATGTGGAAGTGTTTGCTTTCTGTTTCAGAAGGTGGATTCAAATGAATCTTTAATTAATATATGTATTCAACAGCATTTATTAATAAATGTTAAACATTGAACATATAAATGTTGTTATTGTGGTATTGAATAATCTTCAAGTATAAAAAAAAAACTGTGTCACTGCATAAAAATCTTTTTTTTTTTTTGGCCTGGGTTACTTATTGAATATGTAGAGTACATGTAGCTTATACACTGACTGTTTCATTGTGTAAAACTGATGTTGTATGTGCTGCATGGAACTCATATCAAATGTGGCGTTGTGTGGCGACTTATTAACATTATAGAATGTCTTCTAACAGTGCTTATCGAGGTAAATTAGGTTGGTATCCTATCATGGTTGACATTTGTAGTTTGGTGATGAAATTTTAATAGACTTTATTGTCTACAAACTAATAATATTATCCTTAATGCTGCCTTTGTAGAAAATAGTTTGAGTCAAAAATATACCTTGGTTAGTGTGATTAATAAATTATTGGAAATTACTTATTTCCACTAACCTTAAATCTAAAACTTTCAATGTTCTTTTCAGAGTAAGTATAAGGAATGTGTAGCAGAATAAGTGGCAAAACGATGCACAGAGCAACAAAAAATAAGACTTACATAAATTAAGAATGATAAATATGTTTTTGAAAAGTATTTAGATGATATTAAAAAATAAAAAACACAGGATTGCTCTGACAAGTTTAGAGTACCGACACTTTTTCTTGTCTGTCGAATCTGGGGGACATTCAAGGATTAAGTGAGAAGAAATCCATGATTGGAGATGAAAAACATTACCTATTTCATTGTCAAAATAACATTATCAAAGAATGTAGACAGAAATTTCTCCCAGCTCTCTTTATGTATGAGCCACTCTTTCAAAATTTCCGTGTTGATGATCTTCTCTCCAGTTGTGACAAGTCTATCCTTTGATGATTTGGGCATTGCATAAATTTCACCAATATTTATATGGCAAAGAAATCATTTTGGCGACTGATCACCAGCTATTAATTTATTTAAACAAGGCCCGTAAAGTAAACAGTAGGTTAATGCGGTGGGCTCTATATTTACAATCTTTTAGCTACCACATTATATCAATTAAAGCACAGTCCCTCTATGATAGAGGGACTGTGATTAAAGGTAAAAAAATATAGGTGCCGACTATTTAAGCAGGATTGAGATTGCTTAGAATTACTGTTACAATATTTTGTAAATTTGAGAAATTTATTGGCAGTTGATGCTGATTATTGGTCTGAAAATGTGCCATGTTCAGTCTTGATGACGGGACACGACGTAGGCATGGGTTGGGATCCTACTTCTGACACAAAAATGTCAGTGAAATGCCTGCTTATTGCAATTGAGAGAGCCACCCACAGAACTCACACTGGTCAGGGGATTCTTTCACTGCTAGTATTTGGTAGACAAGACAATAATACTGGAAATGAAATACAGATTCAGAGGCACCACCTGGGTTTCCACATGAGCCAATCAGAATGTGTTTTTGCTAGCAGCAGTCTCACGTAGGCAAGTCAGTAGATCATAAACATCTTTTTGTTACTTAAATCACAAGTACACCTGGTAGATTCAAATTGTCCTTTCAGGGTGGTAAACAAGTATGACCTGTCAATCAACTTTATGACACACAGATTATTCCCATGATTCCATGCACACTTTAGGTAATATGACAAAAACATAGGATAAAGGATGCTGATAGTATTTTAGATCTGTTTTTGTCTTTTTGTGATGTATTTTGCTTTTGTTTGTGTACGTTTTAAAATAAATTAACATATTCATTGTCTTTCTTGCTGTCTAGGACTTAGATTTAAGTACCAGTGAATTCATGATGATGTACTCGCTTTATTCTTGGCCGAATGTTATACTCTGTTTCTTTGGTGGATTTTTACTTGACAGCGTCTTTGGAATTAGGTAAGCTCACAGTGTCGTCACCATGATTTTGTTACATGACAGCTCTTACGTTTCAACTAAAAACACAGTACTAGTATGTAAATATATACAGTGCTGCCCTAGCGTAACTTAACTTCCAAGCTGTCACTCTGCTGGCTTTGCCTTTTCATATAAACTTTTTTTTTTTCAATTTTAGATTGAATATCATTTAATAATGAGTTTGGTGTGTCTGTCTATATAAGTAAAATCTCAAAAACTTCTAGCGGATTTTGATCAAATTTGGTACATACATGCATACATTGCAGGCATAATTAGATTTGGCACCATTTCCATGCATATCAAGTAGCTAATTTGCATGTTTATTTTCTCATTTCAACCTGTGTATAGCAAAATCTTCAGAGCAGATTTTGATAAAATTTAGTATCGAGATATCTTGGTGTAATGTACAGAAATGATTAGTTTTTGGGCTACAATGTATGTTATAGCTAATGTCCATGTTCATTCTTATATTTCAGTGTCTATATGCAAAATCTGAAAAAATTCTTATCAGATTTAGTTCCTACCTTGGAGTAATTGGCAGACATAATCAGTTAGGAGGCCATTTCAGTTCATACTGAATAGCCATTTTGTGTAATAGTTTTCACAATTCAGCCCGTGTAAAAGTAGCTTCTGAGTGGATGTTAATAAAATTTGGTACCTTGGGGTGATGTACAGACATTGGTTAGTTGATTTTGGTGATTTTTCAGTTATTTTGTTATAGAACCCCAATGATCATATTCTGTATTCATTGCTGTATCTCTGTATAATTTAACTTTGGTTTTTATCAATAATTTCAACTTCTTTGTAGTATTGTCACTACTATGAGATATCGCTAAATTCGGCCATTCATAACTGGCCCACGAACCTGTGCATGTTAAGAAAATCTGTATTTCACAGCACTTGAATTGAGTCATTTGATTGGGCACGTAAAGGAGCTGCCGCTGCCACGTTTCTGTATCATATATGTCATGGGATCATCATAGATTAAAACAATGGCAGCGTATATGCTTTGTGCTGATGCACCGGAACAGATATTCAATGACATGTTTCCAAAATTTGTTATTCCATTCCAAAAATGATGAAGATGATGGAATGTCTAAATATTTGTGCAAACCATGTTTTAGTAAACTGACAAAACTGTCAAAACTGATAACTTATCGACTTGCCCAATCCTGGTTTTGTTGCCACAAACACATCATTCCATTGAGATACAGCACTAAGCGCTTTCTTTTGATTGTCAGTAAGCTCGTTCATAGAACAAAATATTTTAATTTTACCAAGTAATGTGTCATTTCTATCATGAGTTTTGATAATGCAAATGAGCCCAAATGAATCTTATAATTGTTTGAGGGCGTGTGACATACAGTAAATATAATGAAATCTGCCAAGGGTTAATGTTGAGGCTTTGGCCAATTAAATGGTCCTTGGCTGGCGAAGATGGGTTACTCTGCACAATTTAGATATATGGTGATTTTGAAAACGAGCTATTTATACTCTGACTATGATGTATGTTCTTAAAAGTATTGTTTTAGTGTTGTTTGTCAGGAACTTGTTTCCTTCCTCCTTCTTTCTGCCTTTATTAACTTTGGATAAAATGAACATGCATGTAATTTTTCATTGACTACAGACCTTGATCAATATTTTTGGGGAAAAATATGGAAAAAATTGTGGATTTATTTTGTAAAAGATAACCAAAATTTATCATTCAAAGGGTTTAAATAGTTGAATTATAATATATCTGCAGGCAGCAGAGTCACATCACCACTTTTTATGTTTACATTTAATTTCTGTGTAAATAACAGATTTTATCCAGTCATTTCAGCAAAATAAATACTTTTTTTCGATGTATGTAGTGCGCTTTATTTGAATTTCAAAATGTAAAGCAGATGAAAGAAGTTTGTGAGATAAGCAGGGATCTGCTATTGTCACGAATATTATTTTTTGAATTATTTTAGTAAGAACTATTTGTAGGCACCTTGATAATGTGTGATTACAAAAACAAGATCATGTAAAAATATAATGTGCAGCTGATCCTATAAACAATGTACCGGTATGTACATGCCTTTGTACGTTATGCAGTTATTTAATGCATTTATCAATAATGTTGTGTGATTTTTTTCTTTGTAGGTTAGGAACTATTCTCTTTAGCTGTATAGTGGTTGTAGGGCAGGTGAGTTATGTTTACAGCCTACATATTTGATCACTCTCTCCTGTAATTAGTGCATGTCATTGTATTTATCAAAATTGACATGAAGACACAAAAAAATTTCACTTATATAATTTTGATAACTACTATACATGTGTATACATGTATGTAGGTGTCCAATAAGCTTGGTATTAATTTGTAATCTCCTGAATGGGATAAAATTAAATCTAAGCATATTCACCATAATTTCACAATAACAGCAAACTTTCAGTCAGTGGTTTGTATGATCTACCTGAAATAGGTCATTTTATATGAATAAAGACATCAATGTGGAAAAAAAACTTCTTAATTTTTTTTTCAGTGCATATTTGCTCTTGGTGCAAGTCTTGGTGGACATGTTGGCTATATTGTAATGTGTACTGGTAGATTTGTATTTGGGTAAGTATTAAGTTGCAGATTGTATACATGTGCTAGTATGTGTTGGTTGAAAAGGCACTAAGCTTTTGAAAAAGAAAATTGTAAATTTAATAACTTTAAAGTTGTATGATTGACAAAATTTATCTGACAGCTCTAGTAATTAACTACTCTATTACAATGTGATGACCTAATTTGTTTGGGATTTAAATACATCCATAATGTTTCCCTAATTTGCATAATAATTTTTGTTTCCGCTTTTCCCCTGTTTTTTTTCTGAATTAATCATCACTAGATGTACAATAAAATTAATTTTCCGTAAGTGATATGAACTTCAGTACTGCATATCCCATTGTTATCATGTTGTGCATCTCGAATAAGCATGCCAATATTAGTCGTCACGCTAATGTTAAATTTTGAGTTAATTTTAAATATGTCTCTAATACTTTTATCACATTAGAGTTTTTTCTAAGCTTCCTTTGTTTTGTTTTTAATATAGTTCCTGACGCATTGCTTAATTATCATGAGTTTCCAAAAATCACCATTAAGTGTGCTAATTGAACAGATCATGTTTTACTTTAATTTTCTCTAGAGTCCCATGAATTAACTCTGTTATCATTGCAATGTAATATCACATTTATCTCACGAATTTGGTCCGTGACCTCATGTTTTGTTTCCACATATGACCTAGTATAGCCTAGTATATCATGTACTTGCAAAATATGACAAATTGCATTTTTTGTATGTGACGTTTTAAATAAGTTTCTTTCTGTCTATATAGCCTTGGTGGGGAGAATTTAGCTGTGGCTCAGAATACATATGCAGTGAGTTGGTTTAAAAACAGAGAACTAAATATGGTGTTTGGACTTCAACTAAGTTTTTCTAGAGTGGTACGTACACATGTGGATACTTTGTTGAACTTTCATTTCTACTGTTATCTCACAAAGGAAATGTTCAATAATCATTATTTGTTTTGGCGCAGTGGATCATTTTCAACATATCGCCTTATTTAACAATTGCCTTGTGCAGCCCTCTTTAAAAATGCGCTTTGTTTTGATGATGTTGCCAATTGGTCTGTTTGTAATGAAATTTGGCATTTGGCGTATATATGTACGATTTCTACAAACATTGTTCGATAAAATAAAATATTATTTCAGGGAAGTACAGTGAATATGAATATAATGGGGCCTATATACGACTTAGTCAGTAATGCTACTGGTTGGGAAGGATATCGAGTACTGGGAATCGCTCTCTGGGTCGGTGAGTCAAATTATACGGGAATCTGGAGGATACAAGCTATACTTTATTATACAATTGTGGGGGTGAATGATGTGATTCAAAATTATGTTTAAATTGCTCTGTTTTGCTTTTGTATTAATTTCAGGTGTGAATCTTTTCGAATCTTTCAGAATTGTACTTAATACATGAGTTGTATATTTTTAATGTGAAAAATGCCTTTCTCTGAATACTGCCTTCATGAATATCTAACATTTTTTCAATGTCAATGAAGTAAAACCCCATTAATCCAATTTTCTAATTATTCAAATCTTACATGGTTCCATAAGTAATTCTTCCAAATGTTTTGTGATGTAGTATCCAAACAAATCCATATATAAATTTAAAGAGTTTAACTCTCCTTCCTCCAATATGTTGCTAGTGTAATTTGTGGCTTTATTATGTCAAATTATAATTGTGTCAATTTTAATGCATTGCAACAATTGTTCTTGGGGTGCTATATTCTTATTACATTATTCTATGTTTTGTCACAGGTGCTGGGATGTGCGTTTTGTCGTTGATATGCGCCATTGTGTTGGCGTTCTTTGATAAAAGAGCATCACGAATATTAAAGAAGGAAGATAGTAAAACCGGTAACACTGCTATTCTTTTATATTAATAGTGTACCTTTTCTGTGTGGACATAGTGTGAACAAGAAGTGATTCTAACGAACATTCTGAAACCATGTCACACTTTCATATAATCATAAACGTCTTTTTCTCATTTGAGTCATTACATACTCATTTAGCATGTAAAGAAAGTGAATAATGATATTGTTACATCATGTGTATGTTTCATTTTTTATCATTGACAGGGGAGGTTATAGCATTGACTGATATTAAACACTTTCCAGCTGAATTATGGCTAATATTTTTCATATGTGTGTCCTATTACGTCACTATTTTCCCTTTTATTGACCTTGGAGTGTAAGTAACTCTTCTGTTACTTTTTCAAAATTTGAATGTTGATTTCTTGGATATATATCCTTGGCTTTTTTACTCTTTAAAATATGTTTGATGACCCCATAATTTTATGCTGTCGTCGTCCACTTTAAATATCACATATGTTAATAATAAAGAAAACACTTGTTATTTGTTCAATTCATATGTGTGTTTTAACACATTGCTTACATACGCCAATATTTTTCATTCATACTGGCTATCCATGGTAGCTTTCAGCAGCTGATGGGTTTAATATTTCTTGACTATTCAATTTACTCAGTGTTTAATTCTGTTTACAGCGTATTTTTTGAAGAGAAATTTGACCTGAGTCCGAATGAAGCAAGTGCTGTGAACAGGTAAGAAAATAGTACCCAATACTAATTGCAATATTAACAAGAGAGCGATTTGCTCCCTCACTGACACCGCTTGAAATCTGTCTTAGAAATCCAGGACTGATTACACCTTTATGAGGTATTGAACTGTCTTCATATTCCGATTTCACTTGAGTGCTGATTACACTCTTAGATATTGGAATTATTTCCGCTATGCAGTTCAACTTAAGTATTGATTATGGGTTTCCCATCTTAAGTATCTCTGCAATTGAATTTATTTCATTTTCTTAAATAATACATTCTGCATGTCTTTCATATGTTGGGTCAAACCAAAAGTAAAGCTACATGGGGGGAGGTAGCACTGTTGAAGAATAATAAATAATAAAATCTAAAATTGCCTATTCCATTAAAATTGGATTATTGGAAATAAATGTATATAATTATATAGTTATGGTAATTCAGTTAAGCTATTTAATTTCCATGAAATTGAATGCCAAACATATTAATATTTCTAGATATTAAAGTGAGATATACTTTAGCTGTGAAGTCTATGTTAGTACTATAAGCAACATACACATAATATGAGGTTATTACAAGGATACCGCAAAGTAGAACTATTTTACAGATTCATCGAACACTTCATATATAGTTGATGAGAGAACCAAAATATTGCATAAACTCAATTTTAAAACTGGAAATGCAATTTTGTTGACCATGATCTTAGATTATCGGTATTATTTTTTAAAAGTATTAAATTTGTCTCAAACTAAATAATTCCACATGTTGAATACAATTTACATATAGCTATGCAATTAATGGAATGTTTTGTTGAAAATGGATAGAATTTTATAAAATAATGGTTCAAATGTGATGCATAGTTTTTGCACTGTTTAATGTTCAAGCTTTACAAACTGCTGTATTTTCTGTTTGATTAAATGTCAAGTACATAAAAATATACTGTAAACAGTTGTCTTTCTGGTTATAAATAGTTGTAAAAACAACGTCATAATAAAATTTGTAACATGTGTTGCGATAAAAATATGAGTCTCCAAATATGGGGTTAAAGGAACTTCACATTCATGTATGATAGTTTAAGATAATAAATCGTGTTCATATTCACACAGCCTGGTGTATATTCTATCTGCTGTAGCCTCTCCTGTGTTGGGTTTCATTGTAGACAGAACTGGTAGAAATGTTTTCTGGATATTTGTTGCTGTGACATGTACACTTGGAGCTCATATGATGTTGGCTTTTTCATTTTTTAATCCATACATTGCAATGGTAAGTTCAACAACAACAAAAACAGGCCTACTCTCAGAGTTGTTAAAATAGAGATACAAATACATGTATTTAAAAAAAATGATTCAAGATACTATTTACTCATTTATTTTCAACACTTAAATCAGGTGCTCATCAATAGAAATACACATACATGGATAAATCAACTATGATCAGCAAAGCACATGTCTGAAAGAACAAATAATTACAAAAAGTTGGTTCACTAGATATTTGAAAATTACATTACATGATTTGCTTAGTTAATCTGTGTCAATGAAAAATTGTTAAACGTTATCTATTTTTCGACAAAATTCAGCATTGTGTTATCTGTCGATCAATAGACAATTTTATGAGATTCCGCGATGTGGGTGATTGGTGCCAACCGAATGTCATAAATTGAATGATTAGATTTTGAACTTAAATTCAATGTTTAGCTGAATGTTGATATACCAATCTTTCAGAGAGTTGATATGTTGAGATATTCTGATACATGTATCATCACAATCGACCCTACTAATCAAATGTGTATATTCATCGTGAATGTATCTCCCACAAAACGTCAGCGTTTGTAGTATTCCATGTGATGTTTTGATGCAAATACAACACTATAACCTTTGTTTATCCTGTTTTTATGTCCCCCCCCCCCATATCGTGAGATTCTGATAACTAAGTTTATCTTTATCTTTTTCACAGACAGCTATAAATGCATTTACCAGTAAATTAAAACCCATTGAATATGCACAGTTAGCCATATTGTTCACTTCACAAACCAGTGAATTAAAACCGAGCAAATATCCCTGTGAAATCTAATCTTTTAAAATTACCACTAAACCCCCACACAGTAAATATTGGATTGATGTCGGAGTTAGATATGTAGTAATTTTGAAATAAGTATAGGTCATTATAGGATATTGTGTTTATGAGTGATCTTGGAATTGTGATGAGTTCTTTGTGATTGTCGATCAGTGGTAATAAACAGTTAGATGGACAACATTAAACACATCTGGTTGAGTTTTTAAAATGTATAGTGATGAGAAATAGATAGTTCAGGCCACTCAGTAAAAATATTTCTGGCAATTGATGCATTTAGTTCCTAAATTTAGGATTATATCTTGTGAAAACTGGATAGTGTGAATATAAATGTTTCATGTATGATAGTATCGGTACTTAATATATGAAAAGTGATTTTCTTTTTGTTTTTGTTTTGTTGATTCCTTAGTGGGGTTAATTGTTTATATGTACAACCTTATGTGTGGAGGTGGCCATACATTGTTTGATTGCTTCAATGTAAGTCACTTTCTATTTATGTATTCTATGTTTTGTATTTTACTTCTAGGTTCTTATGGGGCTGGCATATTCCTTATTAGCATGCGCATTATGGCCATTGGTGGCATTTGTCGTACCTGAAAATCAGCTTGGAACAGCGTATGGATGGTAATTACTTCATTTATATCTTTATTTTTTCAATATTAATATGTTTTTTCTTCTGATCTATATAGTGTAGCACTATTGTATCAGTGAACATAATTCTCTTCATCTACTTGGCCTTAATTCTACTTCATCTACATTCTCAAATTTGTAACTTTTAAATGCTAAATCTTCAGCATAATATTTTGTCTTGTATTATAATTATTATAATTTAATATAAATTGTATTTATAAATTTAATTATAATTGAAACTGCATAATTTCAATATTATTCATACATATATGATGATAAGTACTTGAAATCTTGGTAGTTTTCATCTTTTGTGTGTTTGTTTTTCAGTATGCAGTCCATTCAGAATCTAGGTCTTGCTGTCATTGCTATTGTGGCTGGACAAATGGTAGATGTTAAAGGTTATCTGTTATTGGAAGTTTTCTTTCTTGCCTGGCTCTGTGGTATATAGCGTCATTCATTCAGTTGGTTAATTGTTTGTCTGTGCCTGTTTGTTAATTCATTCATTCACAGAAAGACATTCTTTTTGCAAGTCAGTCGTTTTAAATTTCAATATTGTTACACATATCCTACCATACTTCAACATGTAACATCAGGGAATGAAAAATTTTTTTTTTAATCATCTCATCATGTCACCCCCTTTGAAAAAGTATCCAAAGGACAATTTTCGTTTACCATGTGCCGGATTAGAGGGAATACTATGCCTCTTTGTGGAAAATACTAGTTTTGTAGTCATTAATTATTAAACAAAATGTTCTCAAAAAATACACACATTTTATTACGGTAACCATATTATTGACAAGCCATCTAAAATTAGTGTTTAAAAATTATCAAGGTCTGTGGGGGAACTGTCAAAATCAAGATCCCCATCATTGACCAGAGAAGTACTGCAATTCTAAGAAAGTTTTCAAAGTTAACTTACATTTTCTTTTGATTTCTAGTTGCACTGATATGTGTAGTTTTACTTTACTTGATTGATGCCTCAAGAGGAGGTGCTCTTAATATGTCAGCAGCGGAAAGAAACAAGCGTGCAACAGAAGCTGCTAAGTAAGCCTGATTATGATTTATATCTTCCGTCATGAATAGAAAGTAATAGCTAGCCAAGAGCTAGCGATTCCCACTGAATAGATGTCTAAAAAACTCGGATACAAGATACAATTAAGGATAGAATATAACAGTAATAATGTTGTAGATCAAGTGACTGATTACCATACCAACTAATGAGCTCTTACTTTCATTTTACTATCACATCAATCAACACTTTGTATCTAGTAGGCGTAAGCGGAAACATTTTATTTTGTGGCATCGGGCATAACATTTGTCTTGGTAGCTGGTTAATTTGTTGACTGTAATCTATTGTATTTTGTTCTCTAGGGTTGGTTTGCCAGATAAGGAACCTGATGAAGCTGTTAGTCCACTTAAACCACAATCTGATTTCCATCTTAGAAACAGATATCTTTCACGTATTGGCGCCAAGGTAAATGATTAATGAAATTTATTCATTAGAATTGTACCATGTCTAATTACAAACAGTGTCATTATTTATATTACATTTCGTTACCTTTGCCTAGCCCATAAAACCATTATACTGTCTCTGTAGGACACCTTTGCAGTTGCAGTGTTGCATTTTACAAATAGGTTAATTAATTGATCCTCTTTGTTTGTACTAGTATAAAGTGCCTTACATGAAATGATAGTGAAATATATGACAAGTTGCACTCTCATCACACTGTAACCTGTTTGATATGGGTCCATGGGATGGGTGCAGAATGTATGAAATAAGTTGTTTGAGTTTATAAGGATGATTATATTTTAACCACGTAGATTTTGTGGTGAATGAAACAGTCTAATGTATGGTATAAATAATTCTTTGTTTAGTTGAACAGGGCATAATAATCAATCTATCAGATTGAAAAGAAAAGTTACTTGTGATCTAATACCTTTTTTATATTTAAAACAGCTTCCAGATAACTACACTTCACATCTGTCTACCCTGTCAAGAAGAGGTGTTCTTCAGTAATTATCTTACAAAGAAGACATGGTTAAAACTACATCCTGGCTGAAAAAGCTCATTTTGTGATAAATTCACTGAAGCTTTAATGTTCAGCGAGTGACTGTCATTCATCACGAATATGCTGAATTATCAAAGGTTTCTATACTCTGTCATTAATTTCTAGCACTGGGGTGGGGTATATTAAAATCCTGTAACTAAGACCTTCTTGTTATGTTTTCTACACAGAGGCTACATCATATTTTTGCGCATGAATAAATTGATATGAAAATTAAATATATTGAAAAAGAAAGAAAATTTGGATTACTGCCACAAGTGGTGTTGTCATGGTAGTGGATTATTCATTTGCTGCATGTGTCATGCTTAATACAATTACTACAATGATATTATAATTTACTATTCTCTGCTCACCCAGTATGCATAATGGATCGTTATAATAAGAATACTACATATAATTGATTATAGCACAGCAAAGCATTGCTTTGCAGAAAAAGAATTATTACTTGTAAGATGCTTAAACCAAATGTGAAAAATTTATATCAGTCGTATGACAATTTTTAATGCTACAATAATACTTAATGCTTTTTAGCGAATGTGGCCATATGTATAAAGTAGCAGATCGTAATTTGCCTAAGTGCAAACATCATTGAAAAATACTCTTTGCTGGCTTGATTAAATAATGAATTAAAGGGATGATTAAAATACTTGCTAGCTAAAAAGGTATGTATCTTTATCTCACCAATACTTGGTTAAACTAAGAAGATAACTATAATAATCATATGTTTAATGAGGCTAGCCAGGGCAAAGTATTATGGTTCAAGTGTTCAAGCTCTGCAATTTCTTATTTATATTCTGATTTTTTTTTGAAACAATACATTACTTTGGTTGTGTGTACTTGTCTAGTGATTTATAATATGACATTAAATAGCAGGTGAACATTTTGAATAATACTTATCTAAAATGTAACATTGCAATTTGTTAAAACATTGGATAACAATATTGAACTTTTACTGTTATTTGTCATAAATAATGCTAATTAGTGTATCGTGAGACACTCTGCAGAGAGACAACATTTATCGCGTAGTGCTGGCTGAAATTTAAAACAAAATCTTCGGTTAATGCCCAAAACTCGGCGAATATCTTGTATTTTGAAAGAATACATTCCCAGTGATTTATATCCACTTGTTGAAGAGAAAGCTCAAGTAATATAAGTTTTGTCATTTTACAATAAGCAGATGCACATCTCACTATGCCACACTTATTGCTCTAAAAGAACTGCTCTAAATAGCATTTTTCAAACGCGATTACAAATTTGGGAATACATTTGGACTGCAATTCTAGCAATAGAGACCAGTTTGGATGAATTCGATAAACTGCAACACATTTGTAGTACTTACACGAGACATGTGTCTAACCAAACGATCACTTCGAATCGTGAGGTTTAGAATGTACATTATTATAAATCTAGTATATTCAGACAGCAGTAACATTGGAGATTCACAGTAGATGAAGAGATCAAGCCTTGAATTCATAATTTTGTCAGCTTTTTTAACAAAAGCACAGAAACACACACACATGAACATCAATCTCTCTTCCACACAAATGGAAAAAAATAAGATCTCACGCTATCACTTGTCTAGTTATAAATAACGTACATTCCCAACTACCTTAAAGAACTATTCCAAGAAATTGATGGGCTACACAGAATTGTGGGCGCCTTTCATTACGTTTATTTTGTCAAAAATGTGGTTATTTTGTCGTGTCTCTTACCTGAAGGTCTTGGCTGATAAGATTTTGACTGCATAGATTACAATAAATAATTTCACAGTCGGATTTGTCCTTAAGGCATACAACTGTCGACATATGGCGAGAAGTAAAACAGTATTTTCCATGACATACCATGGAAAGACTAATAGCATATGTGTATGCATAATAAAATGTATATTATATTATTCATTCTTATAATTGGTTATACGTGAGATACAAATCAAGATACGTCATTGGAAGCGTGAATCTACATGATTGCCTAGATATAGATTGAAATGTAGTAGTTGATTCACAACAATCCGGGGGGGGGGGGGGGGTATAACATGAAGAGCAGTACACAAACTACTCCCTAAGGTCTTTGTCGGGCTTACTGTGAAATTAATCGTACCACAATTCAAATGACTGAATCGAGTCTCTGAGACTAAATAATTGATGTGACAGTTGCCGGAGACGTATTTTGGATTAATGCGGAAGCGAAATAGGTAACAATGGGACCTACGATATCAGCCTTCCATATATGCGTTGAATATTACTGAAAACAGTCATTTGACGTATTCTCTAATTCTCTACTATTTTCTGGACGTATGTCACGCGATCACGTTTAATGCTATTCTTGCAATCCTTATTCAGACCTCCAAAAGTGATGGGAATTAATTATGAAACTAATCCTTGTTGAGAACATAAACTTTTTATTTTTCGCGATTATATAAGCATGTCTGACCAATTTAAAAGTATGTTGCTGGGTAACACTTCTATAAATAAATACAATGACGTACGTTCTCAAACTTTGCTCCGTTTAATTAAATTGACCAATTACACGTAAAAGGAATAACAACAGTAGAGGTGCGAAACCTAAAGGCAATAACATTGTGTATGTGAATATTTCAGTCACTGTGCCTTCGAGTATGACATTATCTGCAATAAACATTCTACTTTCACGATACAATATACGTAAACTGCCTCGCAAATATATACTAGACGGTCTACTAAAGTGTGAATTAACTACGAATGTGTAATATTTATTGGTAATATTTTTATTGCCACGATGATTAATCTAAAATGATGTATGTAGCTAAGATGCAATACAATGATTACGGAGATTACAAACCAGGTTACAAACAAAAGATCATGGTTGACCAACTGTACAAATAGGCAAGTAAACTTTTTCCTGCTCATCATAAGCTGGAAGACGTGGCTTTGATTGCTCCTGTACAAACGTATGTCTAGCTAATGTGATCATTTAGTGGGAAACTATATTGTACTCGCTATTTCAAGTTGAAACCAATTAAAGAAGCACTGTGCTTACATACCCTACTTCAAGTAACATTTAAGTACATTTTGAAGTATGATGGTGCATGCATAGAATGTTAATTATTTGGTAATGGCACCCATGAGATTAATTGGAGAACTAAAATAGGTTTACACCAAACCTATAATCTTTATTGAACGTGAACAAAGTTTATGTTAATACTTTTTTATGCCTCCTTATTCGTGTAGAAACTACCAAGTGGTATGGAGTAGCTACCTGATAATGATGTTTTTATCTCTCAAATAACGGAAAGGTCAAGTGTGTTGTTGGTCTTCAAAGGCAAACGTGTCACGCATATTTGAAGAAAAAAGGAGAAATAACATCTATCATGTTCAACCCATTTTTAAATTTGCAATTCGCAAATGCAGCTTGGAACCAGATAAAACTTAACAACTGAAATAACGAGTGATTAACAATAATACAGTTTTCATATATACATTGCAACTAACAAATGTTAACAGATGAGAGAGATATTTATGTTCTTCAAGGCATACGACAAACAAGTTCCAAAAAAATAAGCATATTCTGCTTCACGTAAGTCATGTACATTTTGTAGCAGATATAAATTGAAATGCCGATACTTAAAATATATTTTCTCCAATAACTCGACAAATATATTGTTAATCACTATTGGATTTCCTCAGAAATTATTAATCATTCATTATCACTGTTAATGTTATGGATGTATTGATGAGTAATTGCTCTACTGAACATGTACTTGATTCCAATGACATCTTTGGCGAAACGTCCACATAAATATACATAAATATTACCACATGAAAAGCCTGAACATGACTAATGAATCTGATTGTTATTTGAGTGATATCCTCAATATACCGGGGAAGCTACCCGTTTTAGTCAAATATTTTCATTTTTCTGTCTAAATCTAAAGAGTATCTCTTCTTCACGGTTCAGAATATTGATCTCTGTTTCACGTATGATCTTCAAAATAACACATCATTACCATCTAAATGTATGGACACATGAGCTATTATCTAAATAAACATTCGAACAAATATAAACTTCCAGTATTAACATTTAATTATAATATGCTGAATCAAGCAATGTGATTAGCTGAAAGAAGGTATTATATCAGGCACTAGAATACCAGAGTTTCTGACATGAAATTAAATAAACTGGCTTGAATATCCAACAATCAGTGTTCATAGCGACTACGACAGGTATGATCAACATAGCAGAAGAGAATTACCTGATGCAAATAATAACACTAATTATTATTGCAGTGAAAAAGGAGCGAATTTTGTAAGACCCCCCCCCCCCCATCTAAAAATGTTCACATATTTTGCTTCAAGGCATACACATTCAATACATGATGTCATCGACACATGTTGCAGAGCTCGTCGTCCCTTTGACATTATATTCCTTACTTTGGTTTGTTCCGTTTATTCGCGGAAACAGTGTATCCACGGTTTTATGGCAAGTTAGTTAAATAGTGTAACGCGCAATATATACACAAATGTATTGGAATGTCATTTTACTGTTTACTTAATTGCAACCTCAAATAAACGTGGAAATCAGATTATAAATCGGAAGCTCATTAATTATAACATTTTTCGGCATAATCTATGACTTTTCTTCACACCTAACGATAGTACAATCCACAGAAAAATTGGGAGAATTGAAATATAGGAACTCAATATGAACAATTATTTCGTGGCGCATTTCCCAGGCGAGCATATGTGGTTATAAGCAGCACACTCGGGTAGCCGATATAATACTTCTATGCATTCATGATTTCCCGACGATGCTGCAAGATACGTTGTTAAAATATGAAAATTTTAATGCGTGTTTGCATGGTTGACTTACAAGCAAGGTATTTGGGATTTTGAGAACGTATTGCCGAATGTTGCACATTTAGTGTTAAATTAGAAAAAGTTTTCTTAATAACTTACAATTCTTCATTCCTCAACCAATAAAAAAAACACAGATTATCTTGTGTCATTACGAAACCATGAAATGTAACACCGCCCTTTAAATAGTCGTGTAGATAGTTGAAAATGTCATTTGAGCGTGGATTTTCAGCTGATTGTAGATGAAATAATAGTTCAAATCCTAAAGTAAATCACTTATAAATATACAATTCCAGCGTGAGATATCGCACGTGAGGTTCCCGCTCGTGTGTCGATACTACAGTACAGCTATTTTCATATTATCCCTATATTTCCTTGAGCGATATCCATAGAGCTATT